AGATAGATAGATAGATAGATAGATAGATAGATTAACAAACAGACTGGGATAGATAGATAGATAGATAGATAGATAGATAGATAGATAGATAACGAACAGGCTGAGATAGATAGATAGATAGATAGATAGATAGATAGATAGATAGATAGATAGATTTGATCCGGTTTACGTCCCTCCTCGGCCTGGAGTAGAAGTTCATCCATGTTTCCTGTTTTGGATTGGGTTTCCGATTCCTTCTAAAGTCTTCCCATTCTTTTTCACTCCCAGGAGCGCCATGTGTCTTAGTTGCATTATCGCCTTGGCAGGGGTGAATTGATTAAAAAAAAAATGAATAATGATATTATGAATTTATAAAACGAAAAGATTCTGTCAGCGAATAATAAAAAAAAAATGTTTTAAACTTATGCGTCATCCTCAAATAATTACATCTCAGATCAAACGTTATTTTTTTTTTAAATTTGATTTGAAATACGTGATCAAACGCCCAGCAACAGGCGGACATCTTGATTTCGCCTGCTAATATATTAGACAGGGAATCTTATTTTAATGACCAAATGGCAAGTTGTCGGTGCGGGACGGTGCGGGATTATTACCGCTAAAGCGCATGGAAATTTATAAGTGGAAAAACTTTCAAATCTAAGTTAAACGAGCTAAACTTTGCTCAAAACAACCGCGAAAGTCCTAGTCTGATTGTGATAACACTTTATAGCTGCCGACACGGCTTAACCGGCGATGCCATGGCTTCTCTATTAGATCCGACAACAACATAATATCTAACTGAATTGTCGGCGTAATTATTACAAAAAAAAAGACGGCCATTTTTTGGCGTTTCTCATAAATCATACATCATGACAGGTGTTATTATCATCATTGCCTTCATTACAGTTCATTGTTGCAAGATTTCAGAGTTTAGTCTTCTTTTTTTTAATTTGTCACATATTATAATGAATTACAGAGTTTAACCAGCGGTTAGCAGCACGGAAAAGTGAAATTCAATGATCAGGCAATATTCTGGAGAAGTACATTATTCCACATATGCCATTAAATCTGGCTGGAATTGGTACTCTGTTGCTGGTACCATGTTACACAATATATCCTGTCGCATGTTACCTGGAGAGGGGATGAACACTGCCACAAAAATGAGCATTTTCCCGATAAATACGATGAAGGATCCAGATTGATATCCTTACGACCTCCTAGGTCATTGGATATTTCTAACTGAATTAAAGCAAGCGTATTTTGTTACTCTTGGCATTTCAGCGGATATATATATATATATATATATATATATATATATATATATATATAGTGAGAGAGAGATAGGGGAGAGAGAAATGAGCAGGCTATACTAGATAGTATTGGAATTCTTCAAGTGATTGTTTTGGGGGTTGGTTGAATTCAGTAAAAAAAAAGTCTAATTCTTGAAGGCTGATTGCCATAACCTCCAGGCCGACGCCACTCAGAAGCTAAGCGCCAATCTATCTATCTATCTATATCATCATCATCATCATCATCATTCTCAGTATACCTTCAGTCAAATTAATGTAAGCTATGTATGTGACACGGTTTAGGAATATATATACTACACACACACACACACACACACACACACACACACACACACATATATATATATATATATATATATATATATATATATATATAATAAAGGGAAGACGTTATAGTAGTTCCAACGAGAGAAAATGTATATTAAAAAGAAAGGAGAAACCGCAAACGTTTTTGGTTGTAATGTGGATTTTTAAAAAAAAATATATTGTGCTTTATTTTCCATAATTTTGCTCCACGGGTTTCCGATGTCATGACCTTCATCAAGCAAAGAGTGGATATTTCCACATATCATTAAAAGGAATGAATTTTCTTATGTTTTTTTATGTTAAATATTCTCGATATTAGACATTCTCCTTTTTGTGTGTTCGTGACCCAAATGTCTTCCTTGAACTGGCAGTGAAAAAGTTCTGCATGATGGATAATAAAGAAACAATTAATACTGGTCCGAGAAAAGGGGAGAAAGATATCTATATTTTTATCTTTTAATGACCCCTGTGTGTTCTTAGATCTATTTGCATTTACTTGTGTTTTTGTCAGCATGCGTACGCATAAGTATATTCCCTCTCCATACATACATACCGTCTTACTACAAGGAATTAGTATAGACATATGCATACACATACATAGACACTCACACAGACATATAAATACATACACACAAACACACACACACTTCCTATCTTTTTAATACATACATACATACATACATACATACAAATATATATATATATATATATATATATATATTAATGTATTGATTAGTACATGTACGCGTATCTACGTTTTGGCGTGCGACTATAGTTTCGCTGGGTGGTGTTCCCAGGTCATTGGGCAAGGGGTCTGTGTTCTTGATGAACTGGTAACACCACCCAGGAAACTATAGTCGCACGCCAAAAACCTAGGTACGCGTACATATACTAATTAATACATATCTTTGCTCTGTATTACCGCATTGAGCCCTATTAAGTTTACACCTCATGCATAAATTTGGCGATTATTTATTTGCTTGCCTGCGTAGGCACACCAGCACACGCGTACACGCCTGCTTACATTTGGCCGTTTCATTTAACCATTCTACAACGATATATATATATATATATATATATATATATATGAAGTCATCTACAGACAGACTGTTTCGCTGTTTCACAGCTCTTCAGTGTGGCTAGACATCTGGTTGCCTCTAGCTAGGATCGAAACCCGACTGAGATTCTACCACTAAGCCGTCGGCGCACGGAAGGTGAATTTTAGCGTATTTATTTTATTTTTTTACGATAAGC